GACAGGATTGACAGAATTGAGTTTTGTGTTCACAAAATTGAGTTTTGTGGGACAGGATTGACAGAATTGAGTTTTGTGTTCACAAAACTCATTTTTGTCAAGTTTATAGGTACAAAAATGCCTGTCCTGCATGCGCCCCGTAGTTCGGTGCTCATATAAAAGCAAAAGCGCGCGTCGATTTCAAGAGGGAGAGAAATAGTGTAGTTTAGCGAGCAGACAGTATAGACAGCATGATCTCATCGGTCGAGTATAGTTGTGCGACTATATAGTGATTTGTGTTAGAAGCAGCAATGCTTTGAATCGGTTTGGTGAGAGAATCTTGTTACTGAAACATGAATCTTCTTGATTAAATATTATTGTGCGTTATTTCTGGCTTAATGTGTCATTCTTGAGTTCTTACAGCTTTACTACAAATCCAGTGAATTCACCTGTGTAGTTGTTATTTCCCGACTACAATATATATATATGGCCCCCGTGAGATGTACTTACCTGATGAACCGGTAATGTCCATGGCTTTTAGATTTCTTGCCTTGATGATGGTGACTGTGAGTCTACCTGCTGTCGGTAGATAGCACAGCGAAAACATCAACTCTCCTAGATCCACCTTCTCCTGTAGAGAGAAAACTTTATATCAACTCTCCTAGATCCACCTTCTCCTGACTAATACGTTAAGTATACGTCCAACTCGTTATGAATACGCTATGTATACGCCCAAAATTGAAAAAAAACATCGATAGTTCAGCGTATGCCAGCGTTTTAGAGAAATTTTGATACGTCCGGCATACGCTGGCTAAATCGTCAATGTGTGACAGGGCCATTATACAGTTAGTAGAGAGTAGTTCTACTCATGAGCCACAGGCACTTAGAACGTCTAAATAAAAAAATAATGGTAAATAAACACGAAATGTATTTACTACAAAAGCCTTCATGTTTCTCTACTCTCGTTCGCTTATTGTCGATAACTTCCTGTAAATGCCGTTCAAATGCTTCTCTGCAACACATGAGTACACCGCACGCACGCCGCTATGCACAAATAACAAGAATATAGAGCTATAACTACAATAAAGTCTATATTTTAGTTGTTTGTGCACTGCGGCGTGCGTGCGGTGTACTCATGTGTTGCAGCGGAGCATTTGAACGGCATTTACAGGAAGTTATCGGCAATAATAGGCGAAAGAGAGTAGAGAAACATTAAGACTTTGGTAGAAAATATATTTCGTGTTTATTTACTTTTTTTATTCAGACGTTCCAAGTGCATGTGGCATGAACGGGCTGGATGGTGAATTAAGCTGTTCAGATTACTTGTATTAAACAGGATAAGAGTGTTGAAGCCGCGTACGGTGTCAGCGTCTAATATATCTATAATGAAACTCAAGCCTTATCCGCGAGAGAAGAAAAAACGCACTCAGATCCGCTGAAGGACGGAGTGCCGACATTTACACTAACAACACAGCGTGCTGCGTCGCCTGCTGGGCAGATGGGTTCTAGGTGGTTTTTAAGTATGGGTAGACTAAAAATGAAAAGATCATAACACTGCCTGCTGTGTGAGAAAGTACTCTGGTTGGTGAAATTTTGATTGCGCTATGTCGAAAGTTAGTAGGATTTTTAGTAGTGTAACCTTTAATACACCGTTGTCGTTGTGCGACGCACGCACACACGCACGCTTACGAGCACTCGCGCACACACACACACACACACACACATCAACACCGAAGAGTTTCGCCATTCTTTCTTTCCGAGAACTATTCAACAGTGGAACCAGCGTACTGAGGCCGAGATAGACCTTATCTGTTCCACTGCCGCTGACGACAACATCTAAGCGCACACCTCCCTGCGTTATTATCCACGTAACCGTGGGCTACGCAGTAAACTATCCAGATCCAGTTACTCTTGTTACGGAAAGCACGTTGTCTTTTATTGATAAGTTCCTCTATTTTGGCAGAGTACCATTTTTTTGATGTGGCATGCTCGTGGATGATCTTGGTAGGAAAGTTCAGATCAATTTGTTTAGCCAGCTGTTCACTAAAAACGTCCAGTTTGAAGGTGACATCAGTTGCAGATAAGACATCATTCCAATCGCATGTGGTTATCCAACGGCCGAAAGTTCTCAGCCGAGAATCAAGAAGAGGTCTAACGATACGAGTCGATTTCCGTTTAAATTGCTTCAAAAGATGTCTTTCAATAGGCTGCCAAATAATGCATAGATGATCGCTGAGCCCAAGAGGTGCTAATGTAAACGGTTCCAAATATGTAGAGTGGATGTTGGTAATGATATTGTCAAGGATAGCATTACCACGTGTAGGAACTGTCACGACTGCCTTCAATTGATGGGCTTTACACAGAGGTTGTAAATCAAAATGGTTGAAATCTCCAGTAATTATCACTCCCGCATCTGGGTAGTCAATAAGTAGTGCGTCAGTCGATTCAGTTAGATGATTGTTCAAATTTTCATGATGCACGGAACCAGGGGGACTATATACACAGCACACTATTAAGCATGATGTAGTGCGAGGCAGCAATTTAGGACGACACCAAATCCAAATGCATTCCAATTCGTCAGGCACATTTATTTTCTTAAGACTTCGAGCTTGTAAGGTGTCGTGTACGTAGATAGCGACACCGCCTCCTCTCTGTTGATTTCTGAATTTTGTAAACAGTGAGTATGATTGAATTTTCAACTCTTCATCTGGCACCGCATGTGATTGCCAGGTTTCTGTTAAAGCAGCTACTCCTATGCTGTACCTGTCTAGTCAGAGAGCCACTTCGTCGACCTTGTTAATAATTGACCGACAGTTAGTCACTGCAAACGTTGGGAAGTATTTTCGCTGATCTGACTTGTCAATTGTTACTTGAACCATGTTCGAAGGCGACCTTCTGTATAATGACTTGTCAGTTGCACACCGGTGGGAGCAGACCGTACTCACGTTTTTACTGGGATTAAGGTTAGGTTCTCTCTGTATGTAGCTTAGATTGTTTAGGTTTACTCCTCTTGATCGTACAGTGCTGACCTTGTTTGTTGAAATGTAGTTACTATTTGCACTAATGCCACGGTTACGATAGTTATTGCTGGAAACATCATGCATGGCTTTGATAGACTTGCTGTTGGTGTTGAAGTACTCGTCACCTCCGATTGGTCGGAATCTGCACAGTGCCGGGAGATTACAGCAATGGCTACCTGTGCACTTAAATTCCAAGTTGTTTAACGATAAAAGTTTTTCTTTTGATAGCACCAAACGAGGCATTTTTAAGGCTTGATTGAACACTCCGGGCATTCTCTAGGTGTTTAAAAAAACGTTCTTGTAGTGGAAGGTAGGTTTACAATAATAATAGCTACTAAAAGACACAAAATATTACGCAGCCTAGAAAACACATGCTGCATGTTACACCACCTTCACACCTGCTCAAACACCTGCTTCACACCTGCTCACGGACCCTATCCGTGTATCCGTTCACCCGAATTTCTGAGAGAGAACTTGTTATAGCTAGTTTATGAAAAATGGATACTTGGATTGTATATCCTATATCTTATTTTGCACGTAAGTTTTAATTACCTGATTTATGCAAAGAATGTCCATTGTATAATCTTTCTCTTTGCATGTTGAGAGGTCCCCGTTCAAATTTTTTACCACAACTTGGCCGATAAGATCGTGTCTAGAGAACCTATCGGGATAAAAACAATGAATGGTTCAACTATTTCTTTTCAGCTATCCATACAAGTGCATCTGAATTGATGCTCCTATGCAAGATCTCGTGTTCTCATAAACGATATAGAATTAAAAAATATTTTGAAATTAGCTTATATCGGCTTTTCCGTCTAGTCAAGTGAGAGCCGAATTGTAAAGGATGCATCAATTTCCAAAATTGCGTCGGCAAGCAGCACAATAGCGAGTGAAATTGCTACGGATGCAGCAGTTTTGAGAGCACGATGCAGCTGCAATGTGTGACACACCTATCAAAGTCGTAGACGGCCAGCTGTAGAGTTCTAGACCCTAGCTCGAGGAATGGGACCTCCGTAAAGGCAAACTCCTCGTTGAAGGTCGGGTTAAGGTTCTTCCTGTGTACCTGGAACCGACGCACAAACAATGAATGAACATTGCATAAACAATTCATAAACAATGTATAAACAATGTATAGTCTATGCATAAACAATTCGTAAACAGTGCGATTAGGACATTTACATAATATAATGAAAACATGTGAAATAACGAGATAGTAGTGCATGGAACACTGCAAAATGCATGTATAGTCGTAGTAGTTCTTTGTAGTTAATCGTATTTAAGTGTTGATCACTATGTTAGCAGCTTGCACCGCCATTTCACAAGTCATATATAAGGGAAACTCAAGCCTGGTCGCTCATTGTTGTCACACGTTAGTCGTTATACGCACTGCAAACACGGTTGCTGATCGGATATCTGATCGGATATATATATATATATACAACGTGGCTACGCTGTGAAAAGTAGCAGCTGGTCAAATATCAGCTGCGTGGCTACTTGTTTAAATTATGGCAACTATATTTCATATTATAATTCAATATCAGTTATTAAAGTTATCAGGCCATGTCGGTCACGGACCAGGCCTAGCTGGTTGAAGTAGCAAGGTGCTTGCGGAAAATTATAAATGTATGGTAACCCTGAAGATAACACGTGAAACACAAGGTGGCCCTTTAATAGACAGGTGTCGAGCCTTCAGGTGTCCTCGTAAGGCAGCAGACCCTGTACCTTTGGTCGAGGAATACTTGCGTTTTCGATCAGAAGTCGATAATTAGGCAATATATACACGTGGCTACGCGTGGAAAAGTACGCAGCTGATCAAATTCAGTCTGCCGTGCTACTTGTTAAATTATGGCAACTATAGGTTTCCATATTATAATTCAAATAATCAGATTATAATAAAGTTGTGTCAGGGGGGGCAAATTTGTGGGTCGCGAGGGGCGACCAAGCCTATCGGTTGGCAAGGTGCTGCAAATTATAAATGTATGGTGAAACCCTGAAGATAACACGAAACCCTAAAGGTGCCCTTATAGACAGGTGATAATCGACTGTCAGGTGTCGCGCTAACAGGCAGGTACCTTTGTCTGGAACTGTTGCGTTTTCAGATCAGGGAGTAGGTAAAGTCTTTACGTAAGGATCCCGAGTTCCGCTGAAATCTTTAGCCGGTAGGTTGCAAGCATCGATCACTCGGCTACTGTCAGCGTTCTAATCCTGTAATATTGCGAGGCACGAACTCAAGCCTCACACAATTACCAAGCTGTGCAGTATGTAACTCGCATCGAGGAGCGTGTTGTGCGCCGTGTGTTTGTATGGTAATGTGAGCGTTTGCGTGTGCGGGCGTTTTTGTATTGTGGTGAGCGGTGCGTGGTGCGTGTGCGTGTGTGTGTGTGTGTGTGTGTGTGTGGTGTGTTGTGTGTGTGGTGTGTGTGTGGCTGTGTGTGTGTGTGTGTGTTGTGGTGTGTGTGTGTGTGTGATGTGTGTGTGTTTTGTGTGTGTGTGGGGGCGGGAGTTGGTGTGTGGTGGCGTGTAAGCGTGTGTGCGCTTGTAGTTTGTATGTTGCGTGTTTTTGGTGGTGTGTTTGTGTGTGTGTGGTGTGTGTTGTGTGTCGTGTGTGTTGTGTGTGTGGTTGTGTGTGTGTGTGCGTTGTGTGGCGCTCTGTATGTGTGTGCGTGCTTAGGTGTGTGTTGTTTTGTGTGTGTGTGTGTGTGTGCTTGTGGTGGCGTTCTGATGTGTGTGTGTGTGTGTGTTTGTATAAGTGTGTGCGAGCGTGTCGTGTGGTTGGTGCCGAGTTGTGGTGTATATATTATCGTATTTATTAATTTTTTTATCATATTAGTATTTTTTATTTAGATATGTGATGTGTGTGTTATGGTGTGGGGTGGTGTGTGTGGTATGTGTGTAAGATGCGTGCGTGTGTGTGCGTGCGTGTGTTTGTAGCAATAGTATAGCGGGTTTGTTAGGATGTGTGTGTGTGACTGTGATGTGAGTTATTGCTTGCGAGGGGCGCTATAGGTGGCAGTTGTGCCGGGTCGAGCGGAGTGCGTGTGTTGTTTTGTATGTGTGAGGACAGCGTAACCGTTGGGCGTCACGATTAGGCATGTGCATTATGCTATGAGTGGGACAATATATAAATATGAAGAAATACAATTACCTATACAAATATACATCGTCTATAGAAGAATGTGAATTAAGTGCTATATAGATTATACATTATCAGGCCTATAAAGAATGTGTAATTGCTATAAATAATTCACATTAACTATAAAACATTGTCGCACCTCTTGGCTGTAAATCAGTGAGAAGTGCAGGCGAGCAAGCGCGTCTCGGGTTGCTCTCATCCCGCATTATTCTCCTACAGATGGAAGGTTGCTTATAGAGCGCCGCTTTAATCTCACACTGTATCGAACACGAACAATGAAGATGCGACGCGCTGATGAAACTCGATAATCAACTGTCGCAGCCTACGTGCATGTAACAGCGGTGCCGCGCCGCCCGGTCGCAACGTTACACGCCGCTATACCTGGGATACCCACGACAATTATCTATAACGCTAGAAGAAAGTGTAACCAGCCCGTGAAATCATCAATGTTTCAGGTCCCGATACGCGAAACGCAGCTAGAAATGTCGATGGTTACGGACTGATATGGAATTTAATGTGCGTAGCTCACGATTATTATTACAGTGTATTTGGATTTAGTAAATTATTCATTAGTAGTGGCTTAGTATCATCTGAAAAACATGCCGATATTTCGTGCGCCCGAGGAACAAATAGAGTGATACGTGGATTGCGTCTCTACTTGTCTGACGAGCAAACAACGACCGTTTTGTATTACTTAAACAAGGCCGCATTATTGAGGTAATCCGCCTGGCGGTATTGACAATACAGATCATACGCCAATCTTTGTATGTGATATCACGTTCTAGAAATGACCAATGCTTAGCAAACGTAGTAACCGCACAGTTCGAAATTTTGGGCGGAGCACGCATGTGGCACGCGATGTATAAACGGGGCGAGCTTGGCCCTCTGGCCGCAGCACTATATAGTCCATTCAGATATGTAGTAAGAAAGGGCAGCAGCGGCGACGGTTGCCTGCGGGTAGGTCGATAACGAACGTGTGGCTACGTCCGATGGTACTGCGATCGACTATGGTGACCAAGCTTCTACCATAAGTAACTGCATATAAGCATACAAGAGTAAATACCATTTAGCAGATGTTACATTAGTACAGATGATAGAGTGTCTCGTAGGAGATGCGTATTGCGTTACCTAGAAACACGTTTCGAATTCCATCGATTTACAAAACAATATTATGGCTGCGTTTACAACTGTGTTCCCAGGCGGCCACGGACACGGGCGACGCTTTCAGGCACTGTGGACAAAAACGGGATGGACGGTGTGACAAACGCGGGGGGACGGAATGGAAACGTGACGGCGATGGCCGTGATTGCAGTGGATGCTGGCGGCAGATTTTTAATAGGGGGCGTGTGCAAGAATGTGTGCGCGAGTCGAGTGCGCGGGGGTGCGGATGAGAGAACGCTAGTACGTAGGGTGGGCCGTAGTAAAAAACGGGGTAAACTGCAAGCAAAAAAGTGAACAGTACGTTAATTAGGCCGTAATAGTCCCCTATCAGCTGGGGAAGTCGCTGTGTGCATTTAGTATGTCCCCAGTTGACGCTTGATTTCATGTTGGGACTATACTCCCTGGGGAGTCAAAATACTTGGGTAGAGCATTCTGAATCATGCGGAAGCGAGTAAGGTGGAAATTACAAGAATGGCGTTCAAGATGGCTGTCATTCATGTAATTGACCATGGAACCTCGCCACCTATTTATGATAGGAGGTTGATTTGGTGTGCGTATCCCCATAGTTTATGGTCAGGCTAGTCCATTAAAACGACATGATACCCCGTACCGAAAATGCATTGGCATCATTGGTAAAATCTAAGATGCCGCCGAAAGGGACACCCGTATCAATAAACTGCTAAATAACATTCTCGCAGACATTATGATAGAAAGAGTATTTTTTCCGTGTCTAATCCTATGTTTTAAGGGTCAGGTTATCCACTGAGGAGCTGAATAACCAGATTAAAAACGCAACTGCATCACCATGCAAAGCCTAAGATGGCCACCAAATATGAGCGTCATATATTGACAACGGCGAGGAGGGCAATAAATCGCTAATAATACAGCAAGCATTTACAGTATACCATGATATTATTGGTAAAGTAAACTTTAAATACTGACACTGGTGCCCTCCTGTCCTAAAGCCCACCGCGGTAACAGAGTACAGACAGTGTCATACCGCCCTAAAAAACGTTTCAAGGGTATATCTTGGTCCAATCTTTAGGCAGGATAAACTAGCTCTTGCATGTGACGAAGGAGTTTACGCACATAGCAAGAAGAAACTCATGTTGTGGCGCCGCAGGTTGAATTTCAAAATATTGTTGTGGTGTCTCGGATCGGGTTTCCATATGGTCCAAGATTTTCCTCGGGTAGTATTTGGAACAAATACTTGCGATGATATGGGATGCCAAGAATGTATTTCGATGAGAAAACGGCTATCTTTGGCCCAACGGTGACGCCAGACAGTCTTGGGTGGCTCGCATGTATGTTGCCGGTCCTTGCAGGTTATGACATTGCTATCGGAAACAATGAGAAGACTTCGCAGTGGGAAGCATTCTTTGATGAAATTGGGCATATGCAAAGTACCCAGGCAATACTGAGGGAAAATGAAAGCAAGTGTCGCTCGGAGAAGGATTGGTTAGAAAGCTCATTACAGACTGCTTGCCGATTTCGCTACCTCATCAAGTGATCCTGTTTGATGACATTTTGAGGAGTTGAACGACGGAAGAGCGAGAGAAGTGAAACATTTAGATACTGG